GATGGCGGAGGTAGAGCGAGAGAGAGGAGAGGAGCAGGGCAAGGCAGGCAAGCAGGCAGGCAAGGCAAGGCAGGCAAACAGGCATGGCAGCAGTATCCTCTGAGCTACTCTCTATGTATGTGTGTACATGTATTAGTGACGATAAAGGTGAAGCGAGACAGGGATTACATGGTAGTGGTGGCAAAGACAAAGATAGAGCGACAAGCCCGGTGGTGCACGTCCTCCCCGAGGGTCGGAGTAAGAGAAGAGCAAGAGAGAGAGAGAGAGCGGTACCACCGTTCTACATCCCTAAGCGAACCTAGGTGGATCGGACAGAGATAGAGCTATAAGGGAAACGGCGGGCGGTGCGGTCGAAAGGGGGCGAGAGAACGCGGCGCGGTGAACGCGCGAGGGTCGCTCGAGGGATCGTGGCGAGAGAGAAGGCTCCTCGTCGTTCGTTCCGTTCGTGGAACGGACAGAGATAGAATTAGCGTGGACGCGGCGCGTTTCCTCGACGAAGGGGCGTCGAGGAGACAAGGGGGTGAAGAGCGGCAGGGTGGTGCAAAGGGAGAGAGAGGTTGGGTCGCGGGGAGAACGGCGAAGTAGGTCGTCTCGCTCTCCCTCGTTTCACCCGGCGATCTAACTGTCTCTCCCTCTCTCTCGCACGTTCGTTTCTCTCGCTTCGCTGTGTGTATTCCGCGCGGTAAACGGCCAGGCCTGGTCGACGGACCCTCGCATGGCCTGCAGCTGTCTCCTAAACCCCTCCTCCGTCTCTCCCCTTAACCCAGGTCCACCGTTCGTCCGTCGGTCGGTCGGTCGCTTCGTCCCTCGGTTTATCACTCTATCTCTGTCTTTCTCACGCTGCTTCCGTATCTCCTCGCTTCTCTCCCTTGTCGCTCCTTCTCTCTCTTGTCGCTCCTTCTCTCTCTCACACTCGTGCTTCTACTACCTCGATCGCCACCCTTCCTTCCTCTCTTCGTCTGTCTTTCTCACGCTGCTTCCGTATCTCCTCGCTTCTCTCCCTTGTCGCTCCTTCTCTCTCTCACACTCGTGCTTCTACTACCTCGATCGCCACCCTTCCTTCCTCTCTTCACCGCCGCGCGTTCCTCCCTGCATCGTGTTCTCTCGCAGCGAGAGCCACCCTGCACACTCCGCAGGAGCAACGGAGACGGAGAGTGGACGATAGAGAGAGAGAGAGAGGGAGAGGGAGTGTTGGAAGGGCAGCGAGAACGCGCGACTCTCTACTTCGGCCCTATGTACTAGATAGCGGGCAGAGGGTCGCGGCGATACACCGGGAAAGGAACGAGAGAGAGAGAGAGAGAGTGACCGGTATTGGTACAGGGGAGAGAGGTTACGGGGAGAGAGAGAAGCTACCCC